GATGCGGCTGCTACAGCTGCTGGTGATGTTGAAGCAGGAGTACAAACTCCACGGGGTTCAGAGGCAGGAGCAGACTCAGCGGGAGCGCCAGAGGCAGCGCCAGCAGTAGCGGCAGCGGCAGCAGCAGGGGCAGCGGAAGGGGCGGGGGCGGGGGAGGGGGAGGGGGCGGGTTCGGGGGGCCAGGTGACGCGGTGGTGGAAGAGGCGCACATAGAAGGTGCACTCGCAGCGCGCCCGCTTGCCCCCTGGTGGCCCCTTGTGGGGCTGCCTGTCAACCGCCACCACCCTGCCGTCGTAGTGCGCCTGAGAAGAGAGATGAGGAGAGGATAGGGGAGAAGCAAGGTGTGGTTTTGCTGCATGAATGAATCACCTCGTGGGGCTGCCTGTCCACCGCCACCACCCTGCCGTCGTAGTGCGCCTGAGAAGAGAGATGAGGAGAGGATAGGGGAGAAGCAAGGTGTGGTTTTGCTGCATGAATGAATCACCTCGTGGGGCTGCCTGTCCACCGCCACCACCCTGCCGTCGTAGTGCGCCTGAGAAGAGAGATGAGGAGAGGATAGGGGAGAAGCAAGGTGTGGTTTTGCTGCATGAATGAATCACCTCGTGGGGCTGCCTGTCAACCGCCACCACCCTGCCGTCGTAGTGCGCCTGAGAAGAGAGATGAGGAGAGGATAGGGGAGAAGCAAGGTGTGGTTTTGCTGCATGAATGAATCACCTCGTGGGGCTGCCTGTCCACCGCCACCACCCTGCCGTCGTAGTGCGCCTGAGAAGAGAGATGAGGAGAGGATAGGGGAGAAGCAAGGTGTGGTTTTGCTGCATGAATGAATCACCTCGTGGGGCTGCCTGTCCACCGCCACCACCCTGCCGTCGTAGTGCGCCTGAGAAGAGAGATGAGGAGAGGATAGGGGAGAAGCAAGGTGTGGTTTTGCTGCATGAATGAATCACCTCGTGGGGCTGCCTGTCAACCGCCACCACCCTGCCGTCGTAGTGCGCCTGAGAAGAGAGATGAGGAGAGGAGAGGGGGAGACGCAGGGTGTTGCTTTGCTGAATGATGCGGCTTGTGGGGCTTCCTGTCAACCGCCACCACCCTGCCGTCGTAGTGCGCCTGGATGGGGACGGGGAGAGAGGGGAGAGGGGAGAGCGGAGGTAATGAGGGGGGGAAATGAATGGAAGCTTCCTGCAAGCAGCATCTCGTGTGGCTGCCTGTCAACCGCCACCACCCTGCCGTCATAGTGCGCCTGCGAGGGGAGAGGAGAGAGGGGAGAGCGGAGGTGATCAGGGAAGGAGGTAGAAGGAAGCTTGCTGCAAGTAGAGGACACTGGACTGGGTCGCACTCATCTCGGCATCCACACTTGGGTTCCCTCGGGAAGCCTTACAAACGCCACCACCACCATGCCCTCCCACCCTCACATGTGCGCGCACGACCCACCACTCACTCACACACTCACCTCTGCATCCACGCTGGGGTCCCCTTCGGGGTGCTTCACGAACGCCACCACCACCATGCCCTCGCATTGTCTCACCCATAAAAGCACCCAGAGAGCCGGTCCAGGCCGCCACCCAAACTCGCCTCACCTCGGCATCCACACTGGGGTGCTTTACAAACGCCACCACCACCATGCCCTCCCTCCCTCACATGTGCGCGCACAACCCACCACTCACTCACTCACTCACCTCGGCATCCACGCTGGGGTCCCCCTCGGGGTGCTTCACGAACGCCACCACCACCATGCCCTCGCGCACGCGCTCGCAGTCGTCCACAGTGAGAGGACGCGAGCGCAGGCGCAGGCGCAAGCCCACCACGTCCTCATCGTCTCCCTCGAACTTGGTGTATGTCACCCGGTACTGCTGCAGACCCGGGTTCAATTCCGGCTGCTGGCAATGCAGGTTCAAGTCCTCATGCTGGAGACCCGGGTTCAACTCCGGCTGCTGGCAACCTGTGTGCACCGCTTCAAGCTGCAGACCCGGGAACGAGTCCCCACGCTGCCGGTTAGGGTTCCACGCAGGGCTTTCATTCTCGTGCAGGGAAGGAGGGTGGTGAGGCAGACTAAGAGGGTCATCAGCTGGTGAAGGGAAATGAGGGTGGTGGTGATGGTAGTGGTGGTGGTCTGATGGGCTGGGGAGCAGCAGGGCAGGGGATGTGTGGTGTGCTTCTGTAGGGAAGTCCAGGGCGTACATGTGATTGGGTGCAGCGCCGTCAATCATACCATGCGCATCCTCCGGCTGCTCCTGATGATGATGATGCTCCTGATGATGATGGTGCTGATGATGCTGATGGTGGTGCTGCTGATGATGATTCACATCCCCATCACCATCCCCATCACCATGATCGTGCTGATTTGCATGCTGTCCGGAGTGCGCATACACATGTTCGTGCTGTGGAAGCTGGTCATGCGCATGTGCATGATGTGAATGTGAAAGGTGACCATGCGAATGGTGGTCATGCTGTGGGAGCTGCGCATGCGCATGGTGGTCGTGTGCATGGTGGTCATGTGCATGGTGGTCGTGTGCATGGTGGTCATGTGCATGGTGGTCATGTGCATGGTGGTCATGCGCGTGGTGGTCATGCTGTGGAAGCTGGTCATGCGCATGGGAAAGGTGACCAGCTGCTGCGTCTCTTCCTCTGCCCAGCACTCGCACATCCCACAGGCTGCCGCGGTGGAAGCACTCAAACACTGGCGTTGGGAGGGCGGAACGGACACACAAGAGGGGGAGAGGGAGGGCAACGTATAATATAAATGAGCCGTGACTTGGCCCAAGCCGTATTCCACCGCGGCAGCCTGTGGGACGTGCGCGTGGGTAAAGCGGTAGAACATAGTCTGAGAAGGAATGTGTTGTACCCCTTTACCCACACGCACGGCCCACAGGCTGCCGAAGTGAAAGCACTTGGAGACTGGCGTTGGGAGGGCGGAATGGACGCACGAGATGGGGAGAGGGACGGGAGGGGAACATAGCATGCGCGTCAGCAACAGATTTCACCTGAGCATAGGGAAAAGATCACCTGATCATATAAAGATCACCTGAGCATAGAAGATAATACACCTGAGCAGCCGCAGCAACTGATTTCACTGGACCAGCAGAATCTATCACCTGAGCAGCCAGGGCATAAAAAATTCACCTGGCCTGTCAATGTTCCTGGGCACTATCGTCTTGACAGCTGTAGCGCCCCCCCCATTCCTCCTCCTCGCACCTCCCTTCCCCTTATCCCCCTTGGTGCCGTTACCCCCCTCCTTCACCTCTCTCTCTCCCTTCCCCTCCTTTCGTCCCCTCCTCCGCCTTCCTCCTCTCTCCCCTCTAACCGTACCCCTAGTTTCCATGCCCTTGGTCCTACCCCCCGCGCGCTTCCCACCGTTCCCTGCACTCTTACCCGTCCCCTTCCTCTTCCCTTTCCCCGTTCCCTTCCCCTTGCCCCCCGCATCCCGATTTTCTTCCCCCCTGACCGAACGTGACGGGGGCTTTCGAGGCATTATTTCAGCTCATGGACTAAACTATCTCAATGGGCAATTAGGGCCACTAACGCAAACGTTACCGCTAACGCTAACGCTACAGGCTATTACGGGCACTTTCTTTAACAACGTCGATGTCGACGGCCCTGGAAAATCCGGCTGACGTCAAATTGATTCGCTGACAGAGACAGAGTGGAATGGCTGCTGCGATGGGGAGATAGACGCGGTCAATGGCCTACAACAAACATTCTACGAGGCTGACTGAAGGGACAACATAGTAGTAACGACTCTAGGGTAGCAAAGAACCTGGCGGCGTGGAGAATACTGTACGAAATAATGTGTAAGAGATGTCATGCGGCTGACATGCGTGAATCACGAACCAGAGGCATCAGGAGGAACATCGCTGCTTTACCTCCATGCCGGGAATGGTAGTAGCAGGAGGTAAATGCATGTGCGGAAATTCTGAGTGCAAGTGAAGGATGGAAAAGGTACTCGGTACTAGCGAACTTCGAGAACAGCGAAAAACTCAAAAGCTACACGAAGTGTCGGGGTTTTGAACTATTCGTTGAGCTGAACAAGCTGAGCTGCTTGCGAAATGAAGCGGGCCATTCGCGAAATTGCGAATTGCTGAGATGGGGTGCGGTGCGAACGGAATTGCCGCGGCTTTGGAAATACAGTGTGGTCTGTTCACAGGGGTAGTGTCCTGAAGTTTCTGGAACCGTTCATTTTATGAACGGTTTTCTGTTCTAGAATTTGTGAGGCTACGCATAGTGATAGTTTCTGTCAGACTGCTGGATTCTCTTGGCAGCCCAAAGGGCGACCTCAGGCTGTACGCTCTCTGCGGTCAACTTCGTTTTGTGACGGTGTTAAGCCGTAAACTTTATAAACTGTTTCTCACCGTGTGAAACTGTTCTCAGCCACGATATTGCCCTAAGGTTTCGAGCACACCACTCCATACCCGCAGACGCACTGTCAGTCTGGGTTTTCCAACACAAGTATGTTCTGATATACCCTCAAACTTCCTGGATTTCCTTCTGAAGCAACTGGTTTGGGGAGAAATGTTTCTGTAGAGGAATTGGTTCTGCTCGCGGCCAACAGAAAAAGTTCACTGCCAAACCAAGAAAGCATCAAACTATTCTTGCCCTCCAATCGCAGTAGCCCATACCTGATCTTCGAGATTGCGGTCCGGGCCTTGGAATCCTCGTGCAGCATTCGTGACATGGCACAAAACACAATGGATGGAACAGCCATCTATCGCTAACACCTGGTAACAATCTTTCTAGAACGAAACGTTAACGAAGATGCAGTCAACCTACGCCAAACTTGCGACACTGGTAATTACCAATCAGTTCGTAGCTGGCGACACGCGAAAGAGATGTCGATCAGGTGATACCTTCCCCACGTCTAGCGTACAGATCAGCAGCCCTCCCTCCCCCCTTGCCTTGTTCACGCAAACCCTAATCAGCCTTCACTACTCTAGACCAGACCAGTCTATACTTAGGTTCTCTTTAAGGCGTGTTGCACGCAAGCCTTGTTTACTTTAGGGCGACGTCCAATGGCGTCGGACCCAGCACCGTCCACGGACAAGTGGATGAATTTTCTGACGGAGGCGAATCTCGACGACGACACCTATGTGCCCGGCGTGCTGCTGCCGTCGCAGCCTGCGTTAGAGCAGGTCGCGTGCAGGTACGCCAGGCTAGGTCACGTTTAGGTTACCAGGTGGTCGGTTTGTTCTCCAACTTCCGGAATTGCGTCTGCCGGACCGTCTCTCCAACGTATACATTCGGTATTAGTCGAAAATTTAGTCGCCTCAAGTGGGGTGACTTGAATTTGCCAGCCTATTCTCGCGGCGTCGCACGCCCTAGCTTCTTTGGAAGATGCAACGCGCATGCAATCAAAACTGATGCGTGGAACCTTCTTATTCTATCAAACTTATCGGATACAGAGCTCCGCTCGAGGTCCCTCCCAGAACACGCGTTTGATCAGCCTTTCAGTGCGCCGTCTCGCGCGTTCCACCTTTTTGTGCCGTGTTTCGTAATCTCTCAACCTTTCGCTGTCGCCTTACGAGCTTCGTCGTTCTTCGAATGTCACATTTATCCATCAACCTTTCGCTGTCCCCTTACGAAATCCGTCGGGCCCTCACTGTTGCCTCACGCCATTCATCAGTCACTCACTGTGCCCGTACGCAATCCGTCAGCCTCTCAGTCACTAAGTGTCGCCTCACGACAGTTGTCAGTCACTCAGTCACTCACTTTTCTCGTACTCCATTCATCAGTCCTTCGGTCTCTCAGTGTCACCGTACGCAGTCCCTCCTCCTGTGGACCAGTGCCGCCCCACGCGATTCATCCATCGCACGTTCAATTCCATGTCCTCTCCCGCTCCTCTCCCCTCCATTCTCGCCATCCCCACCCCCACGCCTCCCCTCGTCGCCCTTCTGCTCTCCCCTCCCCTCCCCCACTTCTCCTCTCCCCTCCCGCCTCTCCTGCGCGCCTGTGCAGCGCCGAGGGCGGCGGCGGCAACACGGAGGAAGGCGAAAAGACAGGTTCCAGCAGCAGGAAGAGGTATGGGAGAGGGGAGGTAAGGGGGGGGGGAAGGGGAGAGAGGAAGAAGGGGAGAGAGGGGGAAAGAACGGGGAGGAGGGGGTGGGGGGAAGACAAACGTGGGAGACGGGGAGAGCGGGGGAAAGAACGGGGAAGATGGGGTGGGGGAAAGAGAAACGTGGGAGAAGGGGAGAGAGGGGGTGGGAGAAAGGAAGGTGTTGGAGGGAGAGGGACCGGTTGAGTGAGGAAGGGGGGAGTGAGTTGTCTATGGCGCCGAGAGTGACGGCGTGGCAGGGGCATGGAGGAATGCGAGAAGAGGGGTCGAGCAGCGGGAAGCAGTGAGGGGAAGGGGGGAATGCAAGGGGAAGGCAAGAGGCAGTGATGAGAGGAAAGGGTGAGGGGAAAGAGCGAGAGCGAAAGGAGACAGGTAAGTGGGAGAGGGAAGACAGGTCGTGCTGACCTGTCCTTGCCGTCGTGTCGTCTCGCCATTGGTTGTCACCTGTTGCTTTGGTTGACTCACGACCCGTTCTTGAGTTTTGCTACCCCCTTCCCACTGTGCCACTGTTTTGTACTCCCTGTTGTTCTCTGTGTGCCAGGTCGCGTGATGAGGGCGCGGCCACTGCTGACGTGTCATGCAGCAAGGCCAACCGGGAGAAGATGAGGCGCGACCGACTCAACGACAGGTGACACGTGGCAGGTGGTCTTTCGGTGACAGGTGACAGGGCGGCAGGTGACAAGTGGCAGGTGGCAGGTGACAGGTGGCAGGTGGCAGGCAGGTAACAGCTGATGCCGTGGTGGGTGAGAGGTGGCATGGCAGGTTAGGTTACAATTGTGCGACAGGTACGGGGTATTCTTGAATATTTATGAAAGCTACCCTGCAAGTGTAGGTAATCGATTGTGCGACAGATGCGATTGTGAGAGTGGCATTGCATTCCCAGGTGGAAGCTGGCAGACAACAGATGGTCAGCATTCTCTCCATCCCCACCGCTCCATTCCCACCTCATTCCCCTCCCCATTCCCTCTCAACAGGTCCTGGAGCTGAGCCGATCGCTGGAGCCAGGAAAAACGCCCAAGGCGGACAAGGCGAGCATCCTGTGCGACTCCGTGCGCGTGCTCTCCCAGCCAGATGCATTGCCGCCCATCCCACACGCCCCCTCCCCACCCACGCACTCACAGGTTCATGGAGTTAAGCCGGTCACTGGAGCCTGGAAAAGCCCCCAATGCGGACAAGGCGAGCATCCTGTGCGACTCCGTGCGCGTGCTCTCCCAGCTGCACGCCGAGCGCCTTCCTTTCCCACCCAACCACCCCCATCTCTCTCATCCATCCTCTTTCACACACACACACACACACACACACACACACACACACACACACTTGCCCCTTTTCTTGTCCAGGTTCCTGGAGCTGAGTCGATCATTGGAGCCAGGCAAGGCCCCCAAAGCGGACAAGGCGAGCATCCTGTGTGACGCCGTGCGCGTGCTCTCCCAGCTGCACTGCCTGTCGCTCACCCCCCTTCCACACCCCCCCCCCCCCCGGCTTTCCCCCACTCTTCTCCAGGTTTCTGGAGCTGAGTCGATCATTGGAGCCAGGAAAAGCCCCCAAGGCGGACAAGGCGAGCATTCTGTGTGACGCTGTCCGTCTGCTCTCCCAGCTGCGCTGACCATCCGACCCCCCTCGAAACCCACTTCCCTCCCCCACACACCCACACAACAGGTTCCTGGAGCTGAGCCGATCTCTTGAGCCAGGGAAAGCCCCCAAGGCGGACAAGGCGAGCATCCTGTGTGATGCGGTCCGCGTGCTCTCCCAGCTGCGCGCCGAGCGGGAGGCGCTCAAAGAGAACAACGCCGCACTGCAGGAGCAGATCAAGGAGCTCAAGGTGCGTGCACGGGGGGAGGGGAAAGGGGGGGGGAAGGGCGGGGGGGAGAGCAACAGGGTGGAGGCAGAGGGTGGAGGTGTGTGTGGTGCGAAGGGGGTTGTAACAGTGCTGCGCTCAAAGAGAGCAACGCGGCGCTGCAGGAGCAGATCAAGGAGCTCAAGGTGCGTAAGAGGGAATGGGAAGGGTGGTTTGGGGTGTGGAGGCATGGGGTGGGGGAAGGGGGTTGTGGCAATGATGCCCTCAAGGAGAGCAACGCCGCGCTGCAGGAGCAGATCAAGGAGCTCAAGGTGAGGGGGGAGGGCGGGGGGAGGAGAGGTAAGGTACCCCCTATGTCAGTGGTGCAATCAGGCGCGTGTGAAGGTACAAGAGCAGAGCACGAGTCGCTCAAGGAGAGCAACGCGGCGCTGCAGGAGCAGATCAAGGAGCTCAAGGTGGGTGCGTGGGGGGGGGAGGAGGAGATGGGGGGTGGGAGGAAAGAGGGGAGGTGGTGAAATGGGGGAGGAAGGAGAGTAATTAAAGTGATGAGCACGTGGCACTCAAGGAGAGCATCGCTGCGCTGCAGGAGCAGATCAAAGAGCTCAAGGTGAGGGGGGTGTGCAAGGGGGTGTGCAAGGGGGTGTGCAAGGGGGTGTGCAAGGGGGTGTGCAAGGGGGTGTGCGGGGGGGTGTGCTGGGTGGTAAGCAGGTGTGGTGATGCTGCTCTCAAGAAGAGCAACGCCATGCTGCAGGTGCTCCTGCACACCCCCTTCACCTTGAAACTCAAAGTGTGTGCGCTGGGGGAGAGAAGGGGAGGGGAGTAAGGCACTATAGCTGTAATGTAATCAAAGCACACTTGAAATCATGAGCACCGGTGAGGAAAAGGCTGGTTAAAGGCTGAGAGGGAAAATGTTGCAGCAGCACATTGCGGGCATTCGCGAATGATCACAGGCAACTTCCCCTATTACATGCCTGTCTGTGCAGGTCAAGAAGCATGAGTTACACGAAGAGAAGGCCCTGCTGAAAGCTGAGAGTGAGAAGCTGTTGCAGCACGTCAAAAACTCCTCTGCTGCCGCTGCAGCAGCCGCTGCAGCTTCACTACTCTCTTCTCTCACTCTTGCCTGTTCACTCCCCATCCGTCCGTGCTGGCTGAGAAGCGTGAGCTGCATGAGGAGAAGGCCAGGCCGGGCTCGAGTCGGAAAGCGAGAACCTGCAGCATGTCAACACCTCCGCTGCTTTTGAGAGTTCTCACAAGCAGTCTTCCGCTCTTCCCATGTCTGCCCCACCATCCGTCCATGAGGAGAAGGACTGGCTGAAGACTGAGAGCAAGAAGCTGCAGCAGCACGTCAACGGCTTTGCTGCCTTTGAGAGTTCTTACAAGCAACTCCTCCCCTCCCTCATCCATGTGTGCAGGCTGAGAAGTACGAGCTTCGTGAGGAGAAGGCCCGGCTGAAGGCTGAGAGTGAAAAGCTGCAGCAGCACGTCAACAGCTTCGCTGCCTTTGAGAGTTTCTATTATTCCTCCCTCCCCCATCTGTCCGTGCAGGCTGAGAAGCATGAGCTTCGTGAGGAGAAGGCCCGACTCAAGGCGGAGAGTGAGAAGCTGCAGCAGCACGTCAACGGCTCTGCTGCCGCTGCAGCAGCCGCTGCTGCAACCCCCACCCACCCGGCCACTCCCACCACTGCCATCCCCGTCGCCGCCATCCCTCTCCACCACTCTCCACCCACCGCACCCGCCACGCCCATGGCGTACCAGGCGCACCCCCATGCTGCAGCCATGCATGCAGCGGCTGCTGCGTATGCGGCTCAGCTGCAGCAGTGCCAGCAGATGGCTCTCGGCACTCCCAAGGGCGCACACATGGGAGGCATGACTGCTCCCATGCCCGCTCCCATGCCCGCTCCCATGCCCGCTCCTATGGCTGCTGCTGCTGTGTCGCATGCTGTGTCCCATCCGGTGGGTCAGCCTGTGCCTCAGCCGATGCATCAGCCAGGGGTGTTTGCGGGCGGCCCGCCACCCATGGCCATGTGGCAGTGGATGGCGCCTACCTCAGTTGACACCTCGCAGGACCACATGCTCAGGCCGCCCGTGGCTTAAATGTTCCTCCCCCAGTTGGCATCTCTCCTGGTTCACACCTTACAGTACCACATGCTCAGATCGAGAGCTGTTTGTAAGTTTTCACAGGTGGCACGTTGCATGATACCAACACTCTGTTCGCCGCTGGCACGTTGCATGATAACATGCTCTGTCCGGTTCGCCTGTTTCTGTCTGTTTAGGAAGGATTGTTTTCTTGTGTGGTTCGGTTGCGGGTGGATGGAGGGAAGAATGTTGGGAAGTAAGGTTACGGTACTACCGGTAGTTGGTGTGTGGTGAGTTTTCCGAACAAAACTACGGTGGTGTTTTACTGGACCTATATTAACTAACTCTCTTAGGGTATCTGGTCTGGTGCTTATAAAGTGAGGTGTGATTTGAACACAGCTAAGGGATCAGGTATTACATTGTGACACTGTCCAGGCTGAGCAGTCATGCCAATCTTTATCTGAAATCATTCGCGTTTTAACACTTATCCAAATATATCACAGATGACGAAACATTCGGGTACACTCTCTGAACAAGATCCGCATATTACAGAGGCAACTGACAACTCCGACAGACAGACACTCGGATTCGCGTCGATTGCGCCGTCTCTTGCGCGATATGCAACGATCAGGTCCCACCGAATCGCGAAATTGCGCTGCAGAATTATTCTTCGCGAGAGACTGAACAAGCCCTGCTGCTCGCAATTTCATCAGTTCGAAACACTTTCGCGAAAGGCGCTCAATTCTCGCCAGTTCGCACTCCCAAACCGCAATTATTCGCAACAATTTTGATTGTGAAGTCCGCAAAATCCAGCACAATCATCGGTCGCAATTCTCGTGCGACTCGGACTCCAATTCAAACACCAGCTTTACAGCAAAGCCAAACCCGCAACTCACGGCAGTATCGCGAGTCGCGAGGCCACAGCAGCGTAGGTTACATAGAAACTGGCAATGCCGCTTCATTTTATCACAAGTGCCAATCGTCTCACACTCTCGTCTTAAGATCCGTCACATCGCACCAGCTAGAACGGTTCAGCCAATACAAAACAGACGTGAAAATGTCTCCCGCTAAGACCACTTTCCTCGTGGTCGTCCTCTGCTCTGCGGTGCTCCTTTCCGCCACTCCGCGCGCCTCTGCCACCGCCAACACGACTGCGCCTGCTAACGCGACGGCTTCTGCTAAGGCGGCTTCGCCTGCCAACGCGACTAAGTCTGGAAACGCTACCAAAGTTGGTAACAGCGCCGTCGGAATGGCGACGGCGAGGCAGAGCAAGGGCGCGAGCGAGGGAAAGAACTCCACATGCTCCTATTACGGCAACTATAAAGCCAACCCCTACTTCGGAAAAGGGCTCACCGCAAAGCTTCCTCCCGCCCTCTTTGGCAAGCGCTGCGGCGCGTGCTACAATGTGCAATGCCACAACGACACGAAGCGCTGCCGCAAAGGCAAGGCGATCGTGACCGTCCGCATCGTAGGCGAGACTACCACGGAGAAGCAGCTCTCGCTCTCCGCCGTCTCGTGGTCCAAGATCGTGCAGGGGACAGACGCCGCGCCTGTTCACATCACGTACAAGCGCACCAACTGCGTGTCGACCGTCGGATCGGGTGTCCGCGTGCGCAGAAACTCTACCGCGGAGAAGTTCAACATTCAGATGGTGGGGCTTGCCGGCCCTGGTACGCTGACCGAGGTCGAGCTTAGCGCGGACGGGAAGAAGTGGGTGAAGCTGACGCGCGACGGCAGCAAGGCGGTGTGGGGAATCGCGGGCGCAGAAGCGAAGGAGGTTGTGGGCGCGAAGGCGATGAGCGTGCGCCTCACCGCGGGGCACACCCTCGAGAAGATCACACTCGATAAAGTCATTCCCGCTAACTGGAAGCCGTCGACGCTGTACTCTTCGAAGACCAACTTCAAGAAACTCATGGCTGAAAGCAAGTAGTCGGTGTGAAAATCATTCAAGAAAGTGCTTCTTACGAAGTCAATGGTTGGATACTACTAAGGGAGTGGGCTGGGGCGGTAGGGGAGTGGCATAGGAAGGTAGATTGGCAGCGGTATAGTGGGTGAGTAGATGGGAGGGTAGTGTGATGGTGGTGGAACGAAATGCTTCTGTATGCCTTAGTCTATGGATGTGTTTCCAAACTGATTCTATCAATTAGGCGAACCTCATTGCAACGTTGCATCGTCTAGCACACTTTCCCGTGTAAAAGTGTTATTTCACCTTTCACTCTTAGCGCGTCACAGTGTTATTTCATGGCTTCGCTCACACCCGCAACGTACTATTCTTCTTCGTTCACTTGCACACGTAACACCAGGCATGCCATAACTTCATTTGCATTTAACGCACACCCACATTATACTTGAGGCGACAAAACACTCGGGTACACTACCATATCTCAGCCAGAGCCCGACGTGTTCTCGCCCATTCCTCCAACTGACAGCTCCTAGAGCAGTACGCGACATGGCACCCCGCACAGCGTTGGAAGGACCCCGCCCTTACCTCCCTCCGCCCACACTCGCGATTCCCACATGCCTGCATCTGGCTCAGCAGCAGCTGGTGCTGCCATGCAGTGACTAGCAAGGCAGATGCGTGCTGGTGCAACTGCAGGTGGTGGTGCAGCGCTTGCGCGGCTGGTGCATGCAAAGAAGGTGGTTGCTGCTGCTGCTGCTGCTGCTGCATGGTTATGCTATCCGGTAGCAACACCTCTTGGTGTTGCATGTACTGTAGGCACTGCTGCTGCAGTTGTTGCAGGTGTGCGTGTGCCACCAGCTCTTCCTCCTGCCTGCGCCATCGCAGCAGGAAGGAGTGGATGGGGTGACGAGGCACCGGCAGCCACTGCTGTGCTGCTGCAGCTGGCCCGGTTGCTCCGAGTGCTGCTGCTGATCCGGTGAATGGTTCTCGTGCTGCTGCTTCTTCTACAGGTGAGGCGGGAGGCACGTGTGCTGCTGCTAGTGTGGTGGGGGGATGTTGTGCTGCTGATGGTGGGATCGTTGGCAGCACTTGTTCTCCTGTTGCTGCCAGTTGTGCGGTTGGCAGTGCTGAGGGCATCTGAGGTTTCACTAGAGTGATCAAATCCTCTGGTTGTCTCAACGCACACTCCCAAGCCACACACAGCGCCCTCTTTCTCTGCTCTTGCTGCTCTCTCGTCTGCTGCTGCTGCTGCTGGTCCAACTGCAGTCTCTCCCCATCCTCCCCTCGTCGTCCCTGCTTCCTTCGTAGCACCTGGAGGGCGCGCGCACGGGCGAGTAGCACGTGGGCCATGCGCTCGTTTCTCCGCGCCCCCACGCCGTGCTGCACGCAGTGTGCGAGCTCCACCAGCGATGCAATGTCGCCGCTCTGTGCCGCTCTCAGCAGAAGTTGCACTGCCATGCGTGTGCATGTTGAGTCTGAGGGTGCTTGTGAGGGTGCTTGTGAGGGTGCTTGTGAAGGTGCTTGTGAAGGTGCTGGCGAAGGGAATGAGGAAGGGAAAGAGGCGGGGGAGGAGGACGGGGATGAGGAAGGGGAGGACGAGCGGGAGGAGGAGGGCGGTGAAGACAGTGGGGACCGCGGCGATAATGGTGGAGGCGGGCTGATGTTGTGAGTGCCACCAGGGTTGCCACGACTGGTGGTGGAACTATTGCTGCTGCTGCTGCTACTGCTGCTGGTGGTGGTGCTGGAGACACTGCTACTGTCTAGGCTACTGTTGCCACTGTCTTGGGTGCTGCTGGTCGTGGCGGTAGTGGTGGTGCTGCTGCTGCCAGCACCGATATGATCAGACGCACCAGCAGCAATATGATTGGTAGTGTCAGTAGTAACTTCACTTTCGGCGCTGCAACTGATTCCTGGGGTACGGCGGTGGTCGATCCGGTTACCACTGGTAACCACTTGGCGATGTCTGCTGCTGTAGTCGCGGCTCTTCTCGGGTATCTCATTGCCACAGTTGAGCAGAAATATCGCCAGCGAATGCTGTGCTGCCACGTGTCCGTCCCTGGCAGCTCGGGTAAGGAGCGCCGAGCCTGTGGTAGGGTCGTTGAAGCAGTAGGTATAGATCTGGCGGGACACGGGGGGAAGGCACGCAGGTGGTTCGGCTGAGTTTGATGCCGTGCAGGAGAACAGCGGGGTTGCGAGAGAGCAAAGGGATACAAAAATCGGGGAAGAAGAGAGCAAGAAAAACAGGGAGAAACAGAAGAATGAGAGGGGAGAGAGGGGAGAGGGAGAAGAGGAGAGGGATGAAAGGGAGGTGGAGGTGGGAGGGAAGGGAAGAAGGGAGGAAGGAGGCAGGGATGAGAAGCTCACCATGCCGAGAATGAACAAGGCCTCGCTGTTCCCAGCAGCAGCGCAGCTTCTCAGAAAGTGCAGGTTGGACTCGCTCCAATGCTTGAAGCGTGGCAGCAGCACGGAGGGAGGCAGGATACGCAGAATCGCAGGGGACATGCCAATGTCGCAAAACTGGGAGCACCTGTAACGGGGATAGAAGCAGATGTAACGCACACATGGATGTAATTAGATTGACGACATTGCGAGATGGATGAAATGTTACACTCGCGAAATAAAGTGCGAGTAACACAAAACGTCGCGTGGAATTTTGGGTGGAAGCCGCTAGCGATGGGTTTGGTCGAAACCAGATCTGCGATCGGGTCTGCTCTGCTCTGGCAGCATAAATGACTATTTACTAGCGGACAAGGTGCGATCGACGGTTGCGACGGACGCGCTTGCACGTGGAACCCACGACACCGAGGATAACCTTCGCGTGCTCCCTCTCACCCTCGAGACGGTTTTCTAGGCTTGCCGTTCCGTACCGCGTTTCGGAAACTTACGCGCATCGCGTAACTCGTTCACGGAGACCTCCGTTTCACTGAGACGAGACGGCTCGTCGGGGACTGTTCGAACATCCCTGCTTGTCAACGTCAAGAGGCATCATAACGCCTCGTATTCCTTTCGAGATCCCTTTTCCAAGGCGTCCCAAGAATCCTCGTTCTAGTTTTTCGCGGTCCGTGTCTTGCGCAATCTCATAACCGCGTCTGAAGGATAAACGAGGTACGCGTTTGGTCGAACGCCGCGAGTGTGGTCTATCGCGTTTAAGTCAAGACGTACGTGACCAGGGAGTGTCTGGAAAGACTCTGACAGCGAGTCCGCGTGGTTCGGGAGTGACAGCGGATCGAGACGTACACGCGGCGCGAGCGGCGGGCTCTGACACGAGGGGTTTGAAACGTACGCGAGGGCATCGAGACGTACGCGAGGGGATCGAGTCGTACACGAGGAGATCGAGACGTACACGAGGAGCGTGTGGGCGTATTGGCGCGGCGAGCAGGCGGGCGACTGCAGGCAGCGGCGCAGCACCGCCTCCACCAGCTCCTCCTGCGCGCGGCGACCAAGGGGGAACATGGAACGGGGGAGGAGAAGAAGCGGGGGAGGTGAGGGAGGGAGAGGTGAGCGCGGAAGACGGACAGGCGGAGAACGAGCGGCGCAGCACCGCTTCCACCAGCTCTACCTGCACGCGGCGGCCAAGGGGGAACATTACAGCGCAGGGGACAATGAGGGGTGAGGGATCATCCATGATGGAGGAAACAGGCAAGCGAAAACGAGCGGCAGCACCGCCTTCAGTAGCTTCACCCGCACGCAGCGCTTAAGAGGGACATGGCACAGGGGAGGAGAAGAAATGGGGGAGGGAGAAATGGGGGAGGGAGAAATGAGTGAGAAATATGAGGCAGGCGGAGAACGAGCGGCACAGCACCGCCTCCACCTTGACGGAGAGAGGGGAGACTCTCCCGCATCCAAAGGCGGGAAGAGGAGAGTAACGGAGTCGAAGGGTGAGTAGGTTACCGCGCAGCACAGTTACCATGACTTACGGGAAGATCGGTGAATCCGCGCCGTCGGTTTCGGCACTTGCAGTCGTGCACTGATGAGCAGTCCGCCATCTTCCCGTCCACCAGCGGGAATCCCGGCGCGGAGTTTTCAGAGGAGTTCCCAGCGAAGTTCCCAGAGGAGTTTTCAGAGGAGTTTCCAGCGGAGTTTTCAGAGGAGTTTCCAGGGGCTCTGCTCGCGTTCAACGGTCCTCCGCGTGTCTTCCGAGTTGGCGACGCCTCTTGCGCCAATGCCACGCTGTTAGAAGTGCTATGAAATGGGGGACTATTAGCGAGGCACAGCAGTCGATTCGAGCACTAGGCTACAACGCAGAGCACTGCCGTGCGGAAAAAATGTATTTCTGCGGAGAGCCAGACGCTGTGAAGCGTAGACAAGCAGGCTCGGTATGTGTGTATGTCGCAGGCACGCAGGCCCTAGTCAACGAAACGCGGTCCGTGTTTATAGTAGCCTACCAAAGGGAGAAACGCGTTATCCGCAAGGATGAAGGTCTGCCAAGCGACCAAGGGAGAGCGCTTGCCGTCAAGAAGCTCTCTCGGAGAGAGACGTGTGAAATGTTCAGATTTGCAGGCATGCGTGAGTAATCGATCGAGAGGATCATAGATTATGTACGACTGGCTTCAAAGAAGGGCCCGCAAATTCAGGGTGCAGTCCAGTCCAGCACGGATGGGCAACGCGTGACTCGGTCGGTGCTCAGAGAGAAAAGGACATGTCGAAGACCCTTCGCGATTCGAGACGAGGAGTGAGGGAGGATGGAAAAGGCCAGAAAAGCGCGAAAGCGCAAAAGCGCGAAAAACGCACAACGCAATCATGTTGTCGGGAAGAATTGATGCAGCGGAGTGGGAAGGGGGAGTTGGGGAAAAGGGGAGGTGCCGAACACACGTGGGGAAAATGCAACGACGTCTCCCCGGAAATTGGGTGGGTGTTCTGTGGCGAGAGGAGCGGGATAACGTGCAAATGGTCGAACGTTTTCCGCACACTCTGACACACGAGCGAGAGAAGGAAGAGAGCGTTTGCATGCATTGGCGTGCTTGTGCGGTGACGAGCGGGGAGGTGTCAAGACAGGGGAGGACACGGTCAGAAGCATCGCCCGAGCGCGC